TCTGTAGGTTGTCTTTTTACTCTTTTGGTGAAGTCTTTTGATGAGCATAAGTGTTTGATTTTTAGGAGCTCCCAGTTATCTAGTTTCTCTTCTAGTGTCTGTGTATTGTTAGTTATGGTATATATTCTGTTTATACCATGTATTAGGGCTCCTAGCATTGTCCATATTTTTTCTTCCATGATCTTTATCGTTTTAGGTTTTATATTTAGGTCTTTGACCCATTTTGAGTTAGTTTTTGTACATAGTGTGAGGTATGGGTCTTGTTTCATTTTTTTTCAGATGGATATCCAGTTATGCCAGCACCATTTGTTAAAGAGACTGTCTTTTCCCCATTTAACGGACTTTGGCCCTTTGTCCAATGTCAGTCGCTCATAGTTGGATGTATTTACATCTGGATTCTCAATTATGTTCGATTGGTCTATGTATCTGTTGTACCAGTACCAGGCTGTTCTGACTAACATGGCTGTATCATAGGTTCTAAAGTCAGGTAGTGTGAGGCCTCCCATTTTGTTCTTCTTCTTCAGTAGTGTTTTACTTATCCAAGGGCTCTGCCCTTTCCATATGAAGTTGGTGATTTGTTTGTCCATCTCGTTTAAAAATGTTGGAATTTGGATCGTGATTGCATTGTGTCTGTAGATCACTTTGGGTAGAACTGACATTCTCACAATGTTGAGTCTTCCTATCCACTTATGTAAGTCTCTTTTGGTTTCTTGCAGTAGTGCCTTGTAGTTTTCTTTGTATAGGTCTTTTACATCTCTGGTTAGGTTTATTCCTAAGTATTTTACCTTCTTGGGGACTATTGTAAATGGTATTGACTTGGTTATTTCCTTTTCAAAGTTCTCTTTGTTGATGTATAGGAATCCAACTGATTTTTGTATGTTTATCTTGTATCCTGATACTTTGCTGAAATCTTCTATTAGTTCCAGTAGATTTCTTGTGGATTCTTTGGGGTTATCCGTGTATAAGATCATATCATCTGTGAAGAGGGATACTTTAATTCTTCTTTACTAATTTAAATGCCTTTTATTTCTTTTTCTTGACTTATTGCTCTGGCTAGGACCTCCAGCACAATGTTGAATAAGAGTGGTGATAAAGCGCATCCTTGTCTGGTCCTGTTCTCCAAGGGAATGCTTTTGGACTCTCTCCGTTCAGGATGATGTTGGCTCTTGGCTTTGATAAATGCCTTTTATTATGTTGAGAAATTTCCCTTCTATTCCTGTTTTGCTGAGAGTTTTTATCATGAATGTATGTTGGACTTTTTCATATGCCTTTTCTGCATAGATTGATAAGATCATGTGGTTCTTATCTTATGTTTTGTTTATGTGATGGATTACATTGACTGATTTTCTAACGTTGAGCCATCCCTGCATACCTAGTATGAATCCCACTTGGTCATGATGAATTATTATTATTTTTTGATATGTTGTTGAATACTATTAGCTAGAATTTTGTTGAGGATTTTTGCATCTATGTTCATGAGGGATATTGGTCTGCAATTTTCTTTTTTTTGTGGTGTCTTTACCTGACTTTG